CCACCATCTGCCATGGTGAGATTTGAACCCAGGTCCCTGGAACGTTATCTGGGTCTCTGGATTAATAGTCTAGCAATAATACCACTAGGCCATTGCCTCCCCTCTGATCATGATCTTTTCATCATGATCAAACCTCCATGTACACCAACACACCCACACAGGGGTGAAACTGTTTATGTCTAAGGTGTGTGACACATCATTCTCTGAGTCAAACACCAACGTATTCACACAAAGGAGAAACCATTCATCTGCAAGATATGTGACAAATCATTCTCACGATCAGATAGTCTCCGCAGACACCAACGCATTCACATGGGAGAAACCATTCATGCATTATGTATGCAGCAAATTAGTCTTGAGCTCATGGGAACATCCTCTGCTCCATCAGAGGATCCATTCAGGGAAGTAACCATTCAAATATGAGGTTTGTGATCAACGACCAGAGGAATTAGAGAGGGAGAAATTCTTCAGGTGTGATGTCTGTGCCTTTTGAACAGTCAATGTACCTCCTGGTCCATTAACACAGTCATAATGGGGTGAAACCATAATGGTGTGAAGTTTGTAATAAAACTTTCACGCAGTTGTTGGATCTCCTAGTACATCAGTAAATTCAAATGAGGACTTCTTGGCAAAGTTCTTCATAGCTTGTCCTCACAGTGTGTAACGGTGTACACAGTCTCACAGCGCAGGGTGTTCAGTGGGACTGGGACACAGAACAAGAAGCAGCTTTCACTCCCATCAAACACCTAGTGATGACATCACCAGTGCTGAGGGATCATGATGTCAACAATGGAGCCACCCTGCAGTGTGATGTCAGTGACACAGGACTTGGAGCAACCCCCATGCAGTGAGGGCAACCCGTTGGGTTTGTATCCAGAGTGTTAACATGCACTGAATAACACTGTACGCAGTTTGAGAATAACAGACGGGATATTGTTTTTGCTTGCGGACTTTTCAACCAGGCCCTCTTTGGGACAGAGGAAAAGAGAAGGTAACGTCTGACCAAAAGACAATTCACAGCATCTTTCTCAAACTACTTTGATCCCCTCCAAAGTGTTTGCAAAGGGCGTTGCTTCATGCACAGAGAAATCACTGGGAAGTGAAGGACAAGCAGATGTAAATCACCAATGTGCTGTCTGGAGCTGCACTGTCTCTGAAGGAAGTTAATGCTGGTACATATTGTGAAATATTCCAAATTCAACAAGAAGTGGCAACATGACTTGGTCTGGAAATCATCAATTCACCCATTCATTGTTGAATATCTGAAAGCACACTTCAGCCATCAAGGCATTCCTGACAATGTGATCAGTGACAATTACTTCAATTCACAAGTGAAGAATTCACACACTTCCTAATACTTGGGAAATTCAGCACCACATGTCATTTCCAGATTATCTCCAATCAAGTAGGCTGAGGTTGTAGCAGACATTGCCAAAGGAATTGTCAAAAAATTGACTTGATCCAGTTGAGATGTGTACAAGGCAATCTTAGAGAGGAGAAACACATCTCCTGAAGGAATGCATAGTTGTCTGATCCAACAATTAATGTCACATCTCACTTAGGAACTCTTGCAATAACTACAATATGAGCAGGACTGGAATGAGTAACACCATCAAGTGAAACAAAAGTCCATGTCACTTTGATAAAGATACCAAATCAATGTCAGAGCTGACTGTGGGATAGCCAGTCAGAGTGCAAACATTAATTGCATTCGACAAATATCAGATCCTTTGGCAACTTGAAATCTGGAGAGAAATTGTCAGCTTGATCATACATGGGAAAAGTGATCAGCTCGATCTATCACCACAACTACAGACATCTACACGCAACCAGAAAGTCCGCCCATCTACAGGAGATAACTGATGAGGCAGATCCAATTTCACCAACCGAGTAAAGAACTGAATGACTATCTGGCCCGGAGGACAACCATTACTTCTAAAAATACAAAAGATCAGCAGTGATAATTACTATGTCAACAACACTTGCAATGACAATAATATTCTGCAGAGTTAATGTCACTGCAGGAACCAGCAGACACTGAATGAACAGCCAACAACAACACACGAGTACAGTAAGAAGACCTTACTACTTTAAAGATTGAATGCAGTGTATGGGTTTGGATAGACAAAATCAGAACAGACTAGAAAAAACAAACAACTTTTTCTTCATGTGTGATATTTTCTTTATCGACTATATGTGTGCAGTAACTTGCAATCAACAGTCTGTGCAACTTGTTAAAAATAGATGTATGAAATGGGGAATATTTGGATCAATACTTTTCACACACATTAGCTTGTCATGTTCATGTGACCTTGATGTCATTGCAAGTAAAGGTTTGAGAGTGATCCAAGTTTAAACTCCATATGGAAAATTGAGAAGAGGCTGCTGGTGGGAACAGGAGTAGAGGGCAGTGCTGGTGTGGATGGGCAATGTTCTCTCATGAAAGGAGGAGCTGACCAGCATCCAGCCTTGTTTCTGATGAAGGGTCATCTTGAGCTGAAACGTGAACTCTGTTTCTCAACATAGGTGCTACCTGACCCGCTGAGAAGTTCCCGTACTGATTTGTTTTCATTTTAATTTTTAAAGAACAGAAACAGACCATTCAGCCCAATTGCTTTCTCACTCCCTACTTTATTTCATTCTCTCAGCAAATATTTTTATTCTTTTCTTCTTCATGGACTTACCACGCTTCCTGTCAAATGCATTTGAGCTATTTCCTCAATCATTCCCTGTGGTAGTAAGCTCAACATTCTCATCCTTCTCTTCGTGATGGAGTTTGTCCTGAGTTTCTCCTCGGATTTATTATTCACCATCTTATATTGATGGATGCTGCTTTTGAACTCCTCCTCACAAGTGGAAACATTTTCTTTCCATTTACCCCCAAAATTTGTAATTTTATATTTCATAGTTTTAGGGATTTCTATGACATCATCCCTCAGCCTAGTCATTTCTGAGGAAAGAGTGCTGGCCTGTTCAGTCCTTTCTTACAGTTACAATCTCTTAATGCTCATCCTAATCAATGGTTTTTACATCTTCTCCAATTCCTTGATGTCCTTATCAATATGAAGATCAGAACTGTGTACAATGCTCGGAGTATGGCCTGCACGAGGTTCTAGACAATTTCAACAGAATTAATTTGCTTTTCAAGTTTATTCCTTGTTAAATGAACCCACGTGCGTTTATGTAATATTTTGTTTTTTGAAGTGGTCTTTTCCAAAATTATGGTGTTATTAACAAGGCTTAACTTCTTAAATTGTACTGTACCAAGCTTATTGGTGTAAAGTCTTAATTTGCATGATGTAATAGGGTGTAATTGAGAAAGTCTTTAAATTGCTATTTCATTCAGTGTGAATACTGTAATGTAACTTTAAGAAATAAATGCAGGTGTGGATCAAGGTTTATAGGTGGAACACATGTTGCACCTTTGCCTTCCTGTGAGTCGAGCATTTACGATAAAATAGAAACCATGACTGTTTGGCCAGAAGAATGATCTCCAGATCAGCGTTGAATCAAAAGAGTACAGGTTTAGGGGATATTGTTGTTGGGAAACTGCCTCCCTCATTCTTCTAAACTCCAGCGAATGCAATCCAGACTGACTCAATCACTCCTCATATGTCAGTTCTGCAACCCAGGAATCAATGTGGTAAACCTTCGTTGCACCACCTCTATGACAAGAATTTTGTTCCTCAGATGAGGAGACCAAAGCTGCACGCATTATTCCAGGTGTGGCCTGACCAATGCCGTGTATAGTTGCAGCAAGACATCCTTGTTCCTGCTCTCAAATCCTCTAACTATGAAGGCTAATATACACTTTGCCTTCTTTACTGTCTGCAGCACTTACATGCTTACTTTCATTGACTGGTACAGGAGGACATCATAGAGTCATGGAGTCATACAGCACAGAAACAGAGTCCAAAAAGTCCATGTGGACCATAATCCCAAACTAACCATTTCCACCTGTCTGCACTTGGCCCATATGCCTCCAAACATTTCCTATTCATGCACTTAACCAGCACCTGCATCCACCACTTTCTCTGGAAGTTCATTCTATACACAAACCATTCTGTGTGTGTATAACAAAACACCTCTCATGTCTTTTTTAAATCTTTCTTCTCTCACCTTAAAAATATGCCCCCAGTCTTGAAGTCCCCCTGCCATTTATTTTATCCATATCCCTCAAGATTTTATAAACCTCTATAAGGCCACCCTTGATCTCCAACAAACATATCGGGTGTCACTGAACATTTCCCTCTCTCAATTTCCAAATAATATCTGCCTTCCTATTTTTGCTACTAAAGTGATAACCTCACATTTATCAACATTATACTGCATCTGCCATGCATTTGGCCATTCACTCAGCCTGTCCAAATCACAATGCAACATCTTCATATCTTTCTCAGAGCTCAGCCTTCCGTCCAGCTTTGTGTCATCTGCAAATTCTGCTACATTTAGTTTCCTCATCTAAATAATTAACATATATTGTGAATAGGTGGGGTCCTAGTTCCGAGCCATGCCATACTACACTATTCGCTGCCTGCTATTCAGAAAAGCATCCATTTATTTCTACTCTTTGTTTCCTGTCTGGGGCCAATTTTCTATCTATGTCAGGTCAGAACATCTAATCTTATGAGCTTTAATTTACTTATTACTCTCTTATGTGAGACTTTGTTGATAACTTTCTGAAAGTCCAAATAAACCATATCCACTGGCTCCCTCTGATCAACTCTACCAGTTATATCCTCAAAGGATTGCAGATGATTTGTCAAACATGATTCCCTTTTTCTAAATGTAGGTAATCATGCTTATTTGATTGTACCTACACAGACCAATCAGCTGAACAGTTCCTTACACATCATATCACTTCTGTGATTTAATGTGTGTAGATCCACGGTGTTGTTACAGTGGGAACTGAGACAGCATCTGCAATGAATGGTGTTTTATTCAGGTTGGTCAATGACAAACTCCATTTTACCAGTCAATTTCCCAAGCTTCAGGAAAGTCATGTTGCTCCAGAAATATTTGGATTGACTGTGTGAGAAATCAATCAGAGAACCCACCCACTCTGCCCAATTTCTCTTCTTCCTCTTCCAGAGCTGCTTCATTTCTGAAAGGGACTGAAAACCAAGTGAGGAGATGGTGAGTGAAGGAGTAGCTTTTTTACAAATTGTATCCTGTAATATCCATACCAATCTTCAGGCAGTCTGACTATCCTGTGGACAATCAGGGGTAGAAATGTCCCTTATGCTGTGTGAGAAGGTCCAGCTGAGAGAGCTATTTACGCAGTGCTTTGTGCTGAACTGTTTGACTAGAGTTGTGTGTTGAATATTGAGTGTGATCATTGGGAGCATTTCCCTTCCGATTTCCAGGCTGAGTTTTGTTGATGGCTCATTCCTGAATATGAGAAGGTGAAGTATCATTACTGGGGAGGTGGAGAGTGTCTGAGGATTCCGACTGATTTCCTGTTGTTGAGTTGTGTGTGTGTGTTGGGAGCTGGTTATTATCCTTGCAGATTGAGAATAGTTAGTTCTCTCTGTGTCCTGGGATCTCAAAATTTTCCTGTCTTTACAAATTGCTCCAAGACGTCCTACTGTTCTTTCTCTGTAACCTGCTCAGAAAAAAAGCAAATCGTTTTTTTAAGTGGAGCCTTCATGTGATCACCAGATGGTCAAAGCACATAACATTCAGTGAAGCATCTTGAAGTGTGATTGCTGCTTTAATGCCAACAGCAAATGGGTCCAGCTCCTACTAATAGTAATGTGATAATATCTGTCTTTTATGCTGTTTACTAAGGGCATTAATGTTGGCCAAGACACCAGTATTAACATTCCTTCATTGTTTTTCAACAGAAAATTTGAGTATTGCTGAAGTCAGACACATTTTGTGTCATTATAAAGGAGTAGCAGTAGGTCATTACACCCTTTGAGCTTGCTTCACCATTCAATATGATTACGGCTAATCATACAACTCAGAACCCTGTTCATGCTTTCTCCCATACACTTTGATCCTTTGAGCCCCAAAAACTGTATTTAACTGCTTCCTGAAAATATTCAGTGTTTTTGCCTCAGTGCCCTTCCATGGCAGAGAATTCCACAGGCTCAGCACTCTCTGGGTGAAGAAATTTCTTCTCATCGCAATCCTAAATGGCCTCCCTAAATCCTTAGACAGTGGCCCCCAACTCTGGATGCCTTGGTCATCAGGAACATCCTTCTTGTATTTACCCTGTCTAGTCCTGTTAGCATTTTATAGGTTTTTAGGAGATTTCCCCTCATTCTTCTAAATTCCAGTGAATATAGTCCTAACCAATCCACTCTCTCTTCATATATCACCTTCGCTATCCCAGAAATCAGTCTGGTAAATCTTTTTACACTTCTTCCATAGCCAGAACATCCTTCTTCAAGTAAGGAGACAAAAACTGAAAACAGTATTTCAGACATGGTCTCACGAAGGCCCTGTTCATTTGCAGCAAGACATCTCAGTTCCTATACCTGAGTGTTCTCGTTATTGAGGCCAACATACCATTTGCCTCCTTCACCACCTGCTGCACTTGCCTGCTCACTTTAAGCAATTCATATACAAGGACGTCCAGTTGTCATGCTTCCTACTTTCTCAATCTATCACCATTCAGATAATAATCCACCTTCCTGTTTTTGCAACCAAAGTGGATAACCTCATCATATCCTTTGTCACTTTCTTCAACAAAAGTGTCACATTCACAATCCTCCAGTCCCTGGGTATTGATCCTGTATTCAGAGAGGCTTGGAAAATTTCTGTCAACGGCTCCACAATTTGGTCCCTTACTTGTCTCAGCAACCTGTCTGAGCCTTCTCTACCTGAAGTGCAACCAGCCTTTTTAGCACCTCTTCTTTATCTCTCACTTTACCGCTCAGTTGCTTAACACCCACATTTTCATAAGGGCCATTGTCATCGTTATCGAATTTGGTAAAGATGGAAGCGTTTAGTACCTCTGCAATACCCTTTGCTTCAATGAGAAGTTTACCCTGCTTGTTCATTATGGGGTCCTAATCTTTCACTATTAATATGTTTGAAGAACATTTGTTTCAGCTCAGCCTGCCATCTTTTCCTCATGCTTCCTCTTTGCCTTCCTTGTTCCAGACTTAGCCTCTCTCCTGCATTTGAGATACTCATCCTGATATCTGTTGCTATTATTCCAGTATGCATCATATGGCTCCTTTTTCATCCTTATTTTCTCATCAATATCCTTAGTCATCTAAACTTTGCATACCGTGTATTTATTTCTCATGAGTACGTGCTAGCTTGTACTATATTAATCTCTCGTTTGAAAGTCTCCCATTTTTCATCCACTGTTTTATGCACTAAAATGCTTTTCTAATGAACTATCTCCAGTTTAACTTTTAAACCTCTTAAATCTGCCCTTTTCCAGTCTGATTTTTATCCTTTTCCAACTTAAGATTATGTTGTGATCACTATTTTCCAAATGCTTCCCCAGTCTCAAATTCTCCACTTGGCCTTCCTCGTTTCCAAGGATGAGATCCAGCGCCCAGGACTAGAAATGTACTGTTCCAGAAACTTCTCTTGCACACATTGCATGTATTTCTCCCATCCGTGCCCCACACTCTATCTTTTTTCCAGTCTATCCCTGGGTAACTGAAATCACCAACTGTCACAACCCTACTTGACCTCTAGGTTTCCATAATCTGCTGACAAATGTGTCTTTTAGCTCCTTCCTGCTATTTAGAGGTCGATAATACAACAAGGTCACCGCTCCGTTCCTGTTTCTCACTTCCAACAATACAGAATCCAGTTTAGGAACTGCATTTTGTTCAAGGGCTATGAAACTATCTTTGATCAAGACTGCTACACCACCTCCCTTTTTACTCACTGTTTCTGCTAAAGATATTATAAACCGGGATAGAACATAGAACTGTACAGCACACAAATGAGCCCTTTGGTCCATGATGTTGTGCTGAACATGCCACCAAATTAAACTAATCCCTTCTACCTGGTCTTGGTCTATATCCCTCCATTCCTTGCATGTTTATGTGCTTATCTAGAAGTCCCTGAAACATCCCTATCGTATCTGCCTCCAACCACTCTCTGTGTAAAAAACTTGTGCCTCACATCTCCTTTGAACTTCCCCTTCTCACCTTAAATGCATGCCCCCTCGTATTAGACATTTCAACTCTGGAAAAAAGATTCTGACCGTCAACCCTATCTGTACATCTCATAATTTTATAGACTTCTATCAAGTCTCCCCTCAGCCTCTGCTGCTCCAGAGAAAACAACCCGAGTTTTTCTAGCCTCTCCTTATAGTTCATACCTTCTAATCTAGGCAGCATCGTGGTAAACCTCTTCTGCACCCTCCTCTCCAAAGCCTCCACATCCTTCCTGTAATGTGGCGACTAGAATTGAACACAATACTCTATGTGTGGCCTGACCAAAGACTTATAAAGCTGCAACAGGACATCCTGACTCTTGTCCTCAATTCCCTGACCAATAAAGGCAAGCATGCCAAATGCTTTCTTTACCACCCGATCTACTTGCGTGGCTACTTTCGGGGAGCAATGGATTAGAACCCCAAGATCCCTTCATCAATGCTGTTCAGAGTCCTGCTGTTAACTGTATAGTTTTCCTTGACATTTGATCTCCCAAAGTGCAGCACCTCACACTTACCCAGATTAAACTCCATCTGCCAATTCTCCGCCCATATCTGCAACTGATCTATATCTCCCTCTATCCTTTGACAACCTTCTACACTATCCACAACTCCATCGTTCTTTGTATCATCCGCAAACTTACTAACCCATCCATCTAAATTTTCATCCAAGTCATTTACATATATATCACAAACAGCAGAGGTCAGTACAGATGCCTGCAGAACCCCATAAGTCACAGATCTCCAGTCAGAAAAACACCCTTTTTACCACTACTTACTGCCTTCTATGAACAAGCCAACTCTGAATCCATGCAGTCATTTCACCGTGGATCCCATGCATCTTAATCTTCTGGACGAGCCAACCATGAGGGACGTTGTCGAAAGCCTTACTAAAATCCATGTCAACAACATCCACTGCTCTACCCTCATCGATCACCGTTGTCACCTCCTCAAAAAATCCAATCAAGTTAGTAAGACATGACCTGCCCTGCACAAAGCCATGCTGACTGTCCCTAATTAGACCATGCTTTTCCAAATGTTAAGTATTTAGTCCTATTTTACCTTGGGCCAATTTTTTGGCAATGCCACTATGTCATATTCCCCGAGAGCAATTTCTGCTTCCATTTCCCCAATTCTGTTCACTTTACTCCATGCATTTACATACATACAATTTTACCTTGCCCTTATCTCTTCCTTACCAATTGGAAGCCAACTATTTCTGTGTTCACTATCAAAACTCAAGTCTTCTCCCACTTCCTTTTTACCAATCACCATTTTTTCTCTTTTGCCCCCTCTGCTAATTCCAAAACTAGGCCCATGTGTCAATCCCAACCACAACACTATTTACTCTCTCAGCCAAGAGATTTGTTCCATGAAACACAACCACTCCCTTTCCCAGAGTTTATCCAGCCATTCTGTTCTGTCTCAGCCCCGTGCACCCGGGAAGTAATCGACCATACGGGATTCACAATCTAAGCTACAAACTAAACTGTATCCCTCAAACATTGAAGTAACCCACTACTGCTACCTTTTTAATCTGCCTGACAGCTTCCCTCTCTTTTTCCAGAGTAACCTCAGGCACTATTTCCATGTGGTTTTCCCTCGAGTCATTCACTCCTGACTCAGTCGTACTGCTCACTAAATAGGTGTTTAAAATTTCATACATGTTGGACTGTCCAAGGAGTCCTGGTTACCTAGACTTGCTGTCTCTTTTCCTTTTGGTAAATGGTCACCCACTCCTCCTGCCAACGCACTGTTCAATTGCAGCAAGACACCCCTGTTCCGGTACTTGAATGTTCTATCATCCTCTTTGTCTGCCTGACACACTGTGGAATGACCACCCTCCGGTATGACTGTTCCAGAAATCTCTCTCCTTCTTGTGTGCTGTGTTGTGGGGAGAGTCGCTGCCCCAATCAGCCACATGTTGTTCAAGGACTACTAACCTCTGGCACTTCATGCAGATGTGACTGTCCTGGATGTCTTGTGAATCCAAAACTCCCAC